TAAGTTGAAACACTAGATGAAGTGTTGTTTTAGAATTTGGAAGGTTATCTAGAATAAAAATATTAAAGTGATGAATGTAAGTGAAGTGTTAAATGTAGGCCTAAATATAATCCAGATAAGTTGAAACACTAGATGAAGTGTTGTTTTAGAATTTGGAAGGTTATCTAGAATAAAAATATTAAAGTGATGAATGTAAGTGAAGTGTTAAATGTAGGCCTAAATATAATCCAGATAAGTTGAAACACTAGATGAAATGTTGTTTTAGAATTTGGAAGGTATGAAAAGGATGAATAAATAAAGAGTTAAGAACGAAAGAGGAAGCAATTAAATAAAAGGAATGGACAAGGCGCAGTAAAGGTGAAGAGAAGAGAAAGAGAACTTTTACGTTGGGCGCCAAATGTCGTGAAGCGACAATAAAGAACAAAAAGAATCTAACCTAAGAACAACAAAACAACAAAAATACAACAAAAAACAAAAATATATTTAAAATTCAAAGATATTTACAATTTTATAAAAAAATGAAATGAGGATGATGATGAATGAAGTGAGAGTACAATTAGATTACAAAAAAAATAAAGGTAGGAGAATAGGGGAATATAGAGTTGTAGTGGAGCCTACATAGTCGAAGCGACACACGTTGCGATTGTAGAGGTAGGTTTCTTAGCAGCGACGACACGCAGCGCCTGAAGCCAGCACACGCCGGTTGCGCTTGTAGAGGTAGGTTTCTTAGCAGCGACGGCACGCAGCGCCTGGAGCCAGCACACGCAGCGTCCGGAGCCGGCGCACGTAGCGCCTGGAGTAGGTGCGCTCAACGCTTAGAGTCAGCAGTTGCAGCGCCCAAAGGTGGCGCCGGCGGTAGGTGCACTCGGCGCCTGGAGTAAGCAGTCGTAGCGCCCGGAGTAGTGTGGCCCCCGCGCTTGAAGTAGACTGCCGACGACTTCCGAGGTAGATGGAGGCTTGTAGGATTCCGGAGTGGTGCGGCTCCGCGCTTGAAGAAGGCTTCGGCGAAGACTTCACGTGTAGGTGGAGGCTTGCAGGATCCCGGGGCAGTGCGGCCCCGGGATAAGACCTTTAGGAGATGCTTCCAATTCGAGAACTGAAGCGAGACTGCATTTCTTCACCGATTGTTCGGCTTTTATACCTTTCTAGAGAGAACGGAAAAATTATTTAAATTAAACGCAATTTTTTTGTAAATGGTCAAGAGAAAAGAGTATTTATGTGGAATTATCGAAATAGGAACAACAGATCGGTAGCAAATTTGAATATAATTACTATGGAGACCAAATAAACAACAATATCAAAACATGTCAAATTTTAGTTTTAGTTTAGTTTAGTTTAGTTTACGACGGGCTGTTTTCCGCAACTCCACGTCTATGCGCGTATTTTGCGTGTGGGCAGGAATAATGTGATTATTCGAGCCATGAGATCTCTCCGAAGAAGCTCAACAGGCCCTTGATGTTGCATGCAACTTCGGGGAGTGATCCCGGCGTGCCGAGATGTTTAGCCCTGTATGTAGCGACCTCCGGACATTTCAGTAGCACGTGGGCCGCCGTTTCTTCCTCCCCCATACATGCCCTGCACAGGGGACTATCTGTAACACCTATAGTAAATAAATGTTTGTTAAAGGTGCCGTGTCCTGTGATAGCACTTGTTACTATCCTAATCTGCGGCTTGTTCAGTCTCATTAAAACTTTTGTTAAGCGACTGTTAATTTCAGGCAGGGCATCCCTAGCTTGTCTACAGTCTACTAGATTTTTCCAAAGCTGAGCGTGTTGATTAGTGAAGTGTCTACGTACCAGTGAACAAACGTTACCAAAGGGGATTGGTATGATTGGTTCCGGCCCTATAGTGGCCAAAGCCGATCCTCTTCTAGCCAGTTCGTCTGCTGCATCGTTGCCTCTGGATCCACTGTGTCCCTTTATCCATTGCAGGGTCACATTGTTGTTTTTACATACCTCATTTAATCGTTGATGGCATTCATATATTAGTCCCGAGTTCACCACATTGCATCTCAGGGCTTGGAGTACCGCCCTACTGTCGGTCAGTATTCTGATGGGGAAGTCATTAACCTTCCTAGCATCTATTGCTATGGCCGCTTGAATGATACCCATACATTCCGCCTGAAAGACCGTGTTATAGGTACCCAGCGGTGTGCATATGTGAATATTGAGGTCTTCAGAGAAAGCTCCAGAACCTACACCTTCATTTGTTTTAGAACCATCGGTGAAAATTCTAAGCTCATTTGGGCTTAATCCTTCCGGCTGGCTGTTTTCATTTAACTGTATCTTGTATTTCTTATCGAAAACAAATTGTTTAGGAATCCTATCGTATTTGGCTTGTAGGATAGGAATTTTTGAGTGAATTCTATCAATTATGCCTGTATGAGGGACACTATTCTTACTCCAAAGATTTAGGGTCTTGAGTCTGATGGCAGCTAAAGTCGCTTCTTGTTGTACATGTAGATGAAGCGGAGTTAGCTCCAGCATCGCTTCTAAGGCTGCTGTTGGCGTAGTTCTCATGCAGCCTGTGGCAGCCATACATGCCAGTCTCTGGTAGCGCTGAAGCTTTTTAATTATGGTGGCTTCATTTGTCAGGTCCACCATACCAGAGCGCCGTATGTGATCATGGGCCGAATTACAGTTTTGTAAAGCCACAGTATGATTTTTGGCGTCAATCCCCATCTTTTGCCAATTATGTTTCTGCATTGCCAGAAAGTTATACTAGCTTTGTTGATTTTGTTTTCTATGTGTTTATTCCAGTTAAGTTTGCTGTCCAAGGTAAGACCTAAATATTTTACCTCAGAGGATAGCTGGAGTTTTGTGCTAAAAAGACTTGGAGAATGATAGTTATTCAGCTTTCGTTTTTGTGTGAACATAACTAAAACCGTTTTATTTGGATTGACGGTTAAGTCGTGTTCCCTGCACCATCTCTCCACTATACGGAGAGCCGCTTGGGTCAGGTCGCACACTATGCTTGCTGTCTTTCCAGAGACCAGTATTGTCAGGTCATCAGCATAACCTACTGTATAGAAGTGATTGTCATTTAATTTGCTGATGAGTTCATTAATGACCATATTCCACAGGAGAGGTGAGAGAACCCCACCCTGCGGGCAGCCTTTCTTAATTTGGATTGGTTGAGATTCACCAGCAATCTATATTATTCGTGTACTGAGCATGTAAACTATCCAGTCGATCAGTGCCGGTTCAACTTTGTGTCTACCGAGTGCACTTTTTATGCTGGAGAAGTTCGTTCGGTCAAAAGCACCTTCTATATCTATGAAGGAACCTAGACATATTTCTTTGTTTTGGATGGCCTCTTCAATCTTTGTAATGACCTTATGAAGGGCCGATTCTGTTGATTTGCCTAGACTGTAGGCGTGTTGCTTGTCGTGTAGTGGTAAGTTCATTAGCGCCGACCCCCTTAATTCCCTTTCACACATCCTCTCCATCGTCTTTAGGAGAAAGGATGTGAGGCTAATGGGCCTGTAGGATTTAGGGTCAGTGTAGTCGCTCTTACCTGGTTTGGGTATGAATGTAACTTTCACTTCCCTCCATCCCCTAGGAACATATTTAAGAGCAAGACAGGCTCGCATTATGGCAGCAAGTCTGACTATTAGGGCTTTACCCCCCCACTGTAGGAGTGCCGAGAATATGCCGTCGGGTCCTGCCGCCTTATAGGGGAGGAAACTGTGAATGGCCCAATGGATTTTGTCCATCGTTACCACTCTCTGTGCTAAATTCCAGTCTTCTGCTGTTGATGTCAGTATGTCGTCATGCCGGTTTGCCTCCTGGGTTACGCAGCAACCTGGGAAGTGCGTTTCAATTAGGATGCGTTGGGCTTCATCCGGCGATGTTGAGTAGCTACCGTCGGGTTTCTTTAGAGACATGGATCCCGACGTGTTCTGTTTAGCTAGAATATTCCTAATCCTATTTGCTTGTTTGCAGGTTTCTATGTTGCCACAGAATTTACGCCACCCAATCGAGCGTCGATACCTGATACATTTTTTGTATTCAGACTTAGCTTTCTTATATAATAGCCAGTCTTCATCCATTGAGGTATTCATGGCCCTATTTAGAGCTTTTCTTACCTTCTTACGTTTTCTATCGAGTTCTTTACCCCACCACGGTTGTTTTACCTCGGCATGTCTTGGTGGAGTGATTTCTGGACATGATTCATGGTAGCTGTCTATCATGGCCTTAGTAACAGCTGCTACCTGTTCTTCTAGGAGCGACTGATCTGCTATAGTATTTATTCCCTCAAAATCCGCTAGCAAAGACGTCAGCCTATTTAGGTATTTTGTTTTATCTGTCTTGCGGGGATTTCTCCATGGTGGTGTAGAGGGGATATCGACCTGTAGTGCGAAGCAGATCTATCTATGGTCTGAGCATGAGGCCTCTCTCGACACATGCCATCCCGTAATTAGTTTGGCTGCTCCTTCTGTTGCAAGTGTGAGGTCGATTATAGTGCGACAGCGTTTTTTTATGAAAGTAGGTTCAGAACCTATGTTTAAAATGGTTAGGTTAGTACTAAATAAATATTCAACTAAAACTTTACCTCGTTCATTTGGTTTTTCCATTCCCCAAAGGGGATGATGTGCGTTGGAGTCCGTCCCGATCACAACCTCTAGTCCGGTCCTCTCGCAGAAGTTCACCAGCCTGCTGAGGTCATGAGGGGGAGGAGTGTCTTCCTCCGGCATGTAGACCGAGGCGACGACTAATCTACTCTCCTGTGTGTACTGTATTGCTACGGCATACATGTCTCTAGAACAGAAATCTGTTAAAGGTTGTGCACAGATATCTTTAGTAGTGTAAATACACGCTCTAGGCTTGTCGTGTTCAGAGCTGTAGAATAACTTACCTTTTAGGTTGCTTAGGCCTTTAATTTTACCAGCCCTAACCCATGGCTCCTGGATTAAGGCTATGGCAGTCCTTTGAACCTCCAACCACTTGCGTAATTGAGCCGACGCAGTTTCGCTGTGGTGGAGGTTGGCCTGCACTAGGCTAGTTTTGGACGAAGGGCACGCCATCATTGATCGCGTCCTCCCCGTCCCCGCCCAAAAATAGGCCTGCCAGAAGATCTCGGGTTTCATCGTCAGCCACCGAGTCGGAGGTGGTCGGCAAAATGCAGTCCTCCTCGTCACTCAGTGAGCTGCCGCTGAGCCCAATCTCCACTGGGGGCTTCGGCTCAATTGTGCAGGCCGTTTCTTCACTGGACTTGGCCTCCAGTGATTCCGCTGTACCGGTAACTATGGCTCCGGTATCCATAACTTCCGGGTTGTTTTCTACCTCTTTGCTCGGTGGAGTATCAAAGAATTTGCCTCCACGACCCTGGAATTTTACGTATACCGCCCCGCATACACATGCGAGACGGCGTCCGGCCTTCATCAGGGTCGGGATATGATCCTCCGGCACCGAAACAACGAGGAACCACCCGTCCGTCTGCTTATCTGCCTTGAGTAACAGCCAGTCCCTGATGTTTACCCAGCGGTTCTGGTACGCCAACACGCGACCAATGTCGCGTGAGTCTTTCCAGGCCCCCTGGGCATCAGGGATAAGGATACCACATTTGACTCTTTGTGGTATCTCTGACTGTTTCTTTATTGTCAGCAAGGTGCTGGATTTAAGGTCGAGGGTAGCAATGTTCCCCTTCAACCAGTCCAGAGCCTTCTGATCGTCGCACCACAGTTTCAGGACACCTTCCGTATAAACGGGTTTGCCCCTAAAAACTGGGCCCGACGCATCAGGGTCCTGGCTACTCCAGGCCTCGCTGATCATCTTCTTCTGTATTGCTACGAGGATGTCGTCTGCTACTTCCTTCGTAATGTGACCTGAACGCGCACACGTTAAGGCCACACCCAAATCTGCTTTAGCAGCGGAAGCGTAGCTCGTTCTTGCAGTCTTTGGTTACTGTTCGAGTCGCACTTTTTTGTGCTCACCTCTAGGCGAGGTGGACTCTTCCAGCATCCTTTTGGCTGCTCTTTCCTTCTTCCCAGGACGCTTGGCCGCTCGCTGCTTCCTGGCGGATATCCTAGAGCTGGTTCCCGCGTCCGCGACTTCCACTTGGGCTGGATTTTTATCCTTCCCAGCTTCAGCGCGGCTATTGGTTCCAGCGCCAAGCACCCCAGTCGCAGTAGCTTGCCCAGCCTCCTTGGTTTTGGTATCTGGAGCAGCCAATGCGGCTCGTTCTCTACGGCCTTTTTCCCGCTGCTTCTTGTTCTTCTTTTTGGCCTTTCCACTACTGCCTGCAGGGATAGACCCTCCTGATGGTCCGTCAGGTCGGCAAGTCACCTTTTTGGGTGCCTTGCCTTTCCCCTTACGGCTCACCACTTGCCAGGCAGCAGAGAAAAGGTCGTCAGTCCGTAGTGGCTCCGCAGTTTTATCACTTGCGGGCTCTTGTTTCTTTTTCTCTTCCAGCTCCTTGGAACTGGTTTTGGAAACGTTCAGCGAGGTTATCCCTTTGGTGGGGGCACCTACGCTGGACGGTACTGTCCGTGGAACCGTCGGTTTAGTGACGGTTCCCTTTTGTTCTTTGGTGTCTCTGGTAAGCACCTCTGACACCTCTCCCTCTTTCTTATTGGGCCTTAAATTGTCCATAATTTGTGTTTTTTAAAATTCATCCCCCCGGCTTCCCACCCTCCATGGAGCCCGCACCTTTGGGAACGCCCTACTTTAGAAGCAAAAGGAATTTCAGGCGTTAGGATTACCGGGAGAATATAGGGACGCGAAGTTGGCTCACAGCGCGACATCGGGAGCTTGATCCAGCTGGTAGATGGGGCTGACAAGGCCCATCCCCACCACCCGAATAAACTGTCACTTGCTCCGTCAGCATGGCCTTTACCACCACCCAGCCCCCTTTTCAGGAAGACTAGGCAGCCCCCACATCCCTCGCCTGCGACCCTCTGACGGGGCGCTTGGCCATTTCCCTATCTGTGGCTAGCAGATAGGGCCACCGTTTAGCTTGAAATCCGGACCAAAGAGGGCGTGTTGCCTCTCGGCACTATATACCCCAGCGACGATGGGCTCAACCCTCCAGGACTCCTTCATCCCCGCGTACGGCGCTCGACTGCGCAGGTCCTAGCGCAGGTGGGTGTGTTAGTCCACCGGATACACCCACTCTCTCCGGCGGATTCGTCCCCTCCTCCTTTCTCATCCGGGCTTGGGACCGGCAACGGCGGAGTTAAAAGCCCAAAGGTGGCGCCGGCGGTAGGTGCACTCGGCGCCTGGAGTAAGCAGTCGTAGCGCCCGGAGTAGTGTGGCCCCCGCGCTTGAAGTAGACTGCCGACGACTTCCGAGGTAGATGGAGGCTTGTAGGATTCCGGAGTGGTGCGGCTCCGCGCTTGAAGAAGGCTTCGCCGAAGACTTCACGTGTAGGTGGAGGCTTGCAGGATCCCGGGGCAGTGCGGCCCCGGGATAAAACCTTTAGGAGATGCTTCCAATTCGAGAACTGAAGCGAGACTGCATTTCTTCACCGATTGTTCGGCTTTTATACCTTTCTAGAGAGAACGGAAAAATTATTTAAATTAAACGCAATTTTTTTGTAAATGGTCAAGAGAAAAGAGTATTTATGTGGAATTATCGAAATAGGAACAACAGATCGGTAGCAAATTTGAATATAATTACTATGGAGACCAAATAAACAACAATATCAAAACATGTCAAATTTTAGTTTTAGGCTTGTAATAAGAAAACGGCAAGATTTAAGTGGAAAATGAGATCTTATTGATATAGGAAAAAAGGTAGCGCAACTGCCCACACAAAGCCCGAAATTGTAGAGTTACGGAAAACTAACTAAAAGATCGAAAAAAGGTAGACTCCATTGACACCAATTTAAAAGTGCTGATAATGTGAAAATACGAAGTAGAAATGATTTGTTAGTGTGTTCTTATGGTTTAAAATCGTTACAGGATCCTATGGAAATAAAGGTGATGTAAAATATCCAGTTTTGAAGTGAATGCAGAAAATCGAAACAGAATGGAAAAATGAATTTAAAATAATGTAAAATGATAAGTAAGTAGCATAACACTACATTTTCCCCCCGACCCTGGAAAATTTTTGACTCAGCAAAAATTTTGATATATACATTCTAAAATAAACCATAAAAACACAGCTTTGCAGAAACAGACATCACCAGGCAAAATCAGATATACTATCTCTTACATTCATCATCTGCATTCAGGTAAGGGTGGAGTTCACATTCTATGACTACCACTCTAAAAGTGTGTTTTCGAAAGGACATTCAGGCTTATTTAAGGAGTTGTCATCCGCTCCTGCGTGGAAAAAAAATTATTAAGGGAGTAGTCAACCGCTTCCAAGTGAAGATAAAGATAAAGAAATACCTCAAGTAAGCTTTAGTCGCTATGACTTAAGTAAATATTAAGAACGGCCAGAGCGGTAGGGCTCAAAGCCAGAGATCAGCAACATCACCAACGAGATGTGTCTGAAATAAAAATAAAAAGTGACGATTAACCAACGAAAGTTCGAGGTCCTAAAGCAAGATGTGTTGAAGAAGGCTGGATCATCAAACAAACAAACAAATTAAAAGAAATAAAAATAATAAGGTGAGAATGATGGTGATATTTATACATGTATACAAATTAATAGTTAATAAAAGTTAAGAAAATTTATGATTTTACATCTTTGATGTGCCACTTGCCTCTAACTCCATTAGGGTCTTCAAGTACATAGACTAGTGGTGACAGTTTAGCTATCACTTTGCACTTGATGAACTTAGGGGCAAGTTTAGCATTAAAGTATGCGCCGGCATTGCTTAAAACATGGTTTTTACGCCAAACAGTATCTCCCACATTAAATTCTTTAAAAGCCCGGCGAAGATCATAGCGAGCGCTATTTTTAGCGTGCGCTATGTGAAGTTTAGTTTGAACTTTGTGAAAGATAGATGAGAGGAGACCAGCATTAGACGCGTAAATATCATGAGGCATAAATATTAATTCCTCGAGGTTCTGAGTTGGAGTATAGAAGGAACCACAAGGTATTGTTTCCCTACCAAAGACTTAAAAGTTTGGAGTAAAGCCAGTAGCTACATTTGTAGCGCTGTTCATTGCGTACTGAATTTTAGTAAGATGGTTGTCCCATGATCTGTGATCATCTCCTACTAGAGATGCTAGAGCTGTAATAATTGTACTATTAAACTTCTCCGTAGGATTAACCTGAGGACAATATAAAGCTGTGTGAAAAATAAAAGGAACGTTATAAAAATTTAAGAATGAGTGGAATTCTCGCGACTGAAATTGAACAGCATTGTCCATTATAATAGTTTGGGGAATGCCATGAACTAGAAAAACTGAATTTTCCAAAACATTAATGATATTAGCTGAAGTAGCACGTTTAAGGGGAAAAATCATAGTATATTTAGTAAAATTGCAGTTAATTACTAGAATATACTGATTTCGTCTTCGAGTCATAGGCAATGGACCCATAAGATCTAAGGATATAGTTTGAAAAGGTCTGGAGCAAAGTTTAGGTTTACCCATAAGACCATAGGGAGAATGATTAGGGTGTTTGTAGGTTAAGCAGGTTTCACAAGTTGAGATTAAATTGGCAATATCCTTAAACATACCAGGCCAATAGTATTTTAAAGATATTTTCTTGAATGTCTTGAAGATACCAAGATGGAGTTCTGAAGGGGAACCATGGTTAACTTCAATAATTGCATGTCTATCTTGAGGTAGTGGAACTTCTTTCCAAATAAAGTCATCGTTTAGACGATCGGGAGAATGGATGCAGCGGTAAAGTTTGTTATCCCTGATAGTGTAGTTGGGATATGAGTCTGGATTGTTGGAGCATCCGAGAAAAATCTTGTTGTAGTGCTCAAGTTTACGATCAGGTGGTTCTTCAATCGTAATAGGATGTACGCCTTGAGGTGAAATTTTTCGTGTATCAGGACGTTCTTGATTCATATGTCTTGATAATAAATTAGGAACAACGTTATCCTTTCCTTTTTTATGTTTCAGGACAAAGTTAAAGCAAGATAAGCGTAAAGTCCAGCGAGCAAGTCTTCCTGATGGATTCGATAAGTTCTGAAACCATTTAAGTGCAGCATGGTCAGTATATATTGTAAATTCTTTACCATTGTCTAGGTAACATCGCCAATGTTCTAACGCAGTTATTACAGCTAATGTTTCTCTTTCAGTAGTTGAGTAGTTCTGTTGATTTTTGTTTAGTGCTTTACTCATGTAAGCAATCACGACTTCTTTGTCATCTTGATGTTGAGTAAGCATTGCTCCTATGCCATAGTTTGATGCATCACAATGTACAGAGAAGGGTAGTTCGAAGTTAGGACAAGCAAGGACAGGAGCAGTTACCAAAGCTTCTTTAAGTTTCTGGAAAGCAGCTGCAGCTTGTGAATTCCAAAGAAATTTAGGAGCGTTCTTCCCGGAACAGGTTAGTTGATTGAGTGGAGAGGCAATAGTGCTAAAGTTTGGAATGAATCTTCTGAACCAGCTGCAGGTGCCTATGAATCTTCGCACTTCTTTTCTACAAGTAGGTACAGGATATTCTAATATAGCTTTTATTTTATCTGGATCAGCACGTAGACCGTACTCGTCCACTAGAAAACCAAGGTATTTCAGTTCTTTCCTGAAGAGTTGACTCTTCTCAAAGTTAATAGTCAGATTAGCATATGAAAGTTTTTCATGAACTTTCATAAGGAGTGATATGTGTTCATCAAAAGTCTCACTAATGATAACGATGTCGTCCAGATAGCAAAATACCTTGTTCTCAAATTCAGGAGTAAAAAGCATATCCATTAATCTTTGTAGAGTTGCAGGTGAGTTAGAAAGACCAAAAGGCATTAACTTGAATCTAAACATACCTCTTCCAGGTACATAAAATGCAGTTTTATCCTTATCAGCAGGATTCAAGGGAATCTCCCAAAATGCTTTCGCAATGTCGATGCTTGATAAGTATTTGGCATTCCTCAAGTTGTCCAAAATTTCGCTTATTAGTGGCAGACTATAAGCATCACGACGTGTAACTGAGTTAAGCTTCCTGCTGTCTACGCAGAAACGCCATTCACCATTCTTCTTCGGAGTGATGAGAACTGGAGATAACCAAGGACTTTCGCATTGTTCAATGACGTTCCATCGCAGCATCTTGTCAACTTCATTAATTAACGCCTTTTGTTTTTCAGGAGACAGTCTGTAACATCTTTGTTTGATTGGAAGAGAATCACCAGTGTCAATCTTGTGGGTGATTAAGTGTGTGCATCCCAGGATACCTTTTTCTTCAAAAGAAATTGTCTTGAAGCGTTGGATGATGTCATTAGCGATGTTCTTTTGATTAGGAGTTAAATGCTCATAAGGTAAAACTTTAGTATCTTTAGTTTCGATAGCAGAGCATTTAGATTCTGTAAAGTTAAGAGAAGATAAAACACTAGGTAAAAGATTAAATTTTCTCCAAAAGTCAATACCTAATATTAGCGAAGGGAATATTTCAGGGAAAACGTAAGCTTTAATTAAATGAGTTTGATTATTGAAATGAACAGGTAAGTCAAAATAACCCAAGGAATTAACCTTTTGATTATTAGCAGTAGAGACAGTAATAAGATCTGACTTGAAAAGTTTGCAGCCCAGTTTAAGAATTTCCAAATGAGAATTATTACCCAGAATAGTTACTGAACTGCCAGAATCTAGTAAACCAGATAAAGTTAAGTTATAAATTTTGACATTAACGAATGGACGATTAAGATCTTGTTCCTTGGAGTAGAGTGTAGAAGAGATTTTGTAACAAGAAAAGAAGTTTTGAATTGTTTTAATCCAATTAGTCCAATCGTCGTTATCAAAGTTTAAGTTACTTTTCAAGTCAGTAGTTAGTTTTTTGAACTAGTATTAGGTTTGCGAGAACAAGTGGGGCAATCTGCAATTTTAAAACCCTTAAGACCACATTTGAAACAAATCACGAATCGTGGTTGAGTACAGGTGTTCAAAGAATGACCTTGTTTACGACAGCGAACACAAAAGGAGCTTTCTTGAGGAGCTTTAGTTTGAGGGAGACTATTAACTTGTCTAGAAGGGTATTTGTAGGATGAAGTGAATTTATTCATGAGGGGAGGAGAAGATCGTGAGTTATTAGAAGAATTTGGAGAGTCAACTGAACTTGAACAACTGGAATGCTTGTAGTTGAATTCAGAAATAAGAGGACTTTGTTGTACATTTGGTTCTTTAAATTGTTTGTCTCTGTCTAGGAATTTTTCATAGTTTTGGCAAGTAGCCAAAAGAGAGTCGATAGAGTCAATGTCTTTTAGAGCTACGAAGACTGAATAACATGGGCGAATATTCCTCAAAATAATCTCCAATTGTTCTGTTTCAGAAAGTTTCTTCGAAAGACGAGAAAACATTCCAGACATGATGGAAATATAGATGACAATAGGTTCATCTCGACCTTGAGTTCGATTCCTAATCGCTTCTAAAAGTTTGTGATCATAATCAAAACCACCAAAGTCTTTGATTAATAACGAAGAAAGTTCGTTCCACGTTAAGTTTGGATTCTGATTATATTTAAATCTGAACCAATGAAGAGCATTGTCAGTGAAAATTTCAAACGCTTGTGAAATCAACAAGTCTTTGGACAAGCCACGAGCTATACAGTATTCTTCCAGTTTTTGAAGAAAGGATCTTGGACAGCTTTTACCATTGAAGGTGTGTCTTTTCAGATCTTTGAAGACGTTGGTTGGAGAAAAAGATTGAGGTGGTGGTGGAGGATACGGGGTATGGACCTGAATAGAAGTTTGAGAAACAAGAGGGAGTTCCGTGACAGTCGGGTCAACCGTGACAGTCGGGTCAATAGGAGGGTCATTTTCAGTTGGAGCTGGAGTCAAGGATTCAAATTGTTTAGTAATATCATCATATTTCATCTTCAAAGTATCGAAAATAGCTTTAAAGTCTGGATATAAGTCAGTATCTATTCGTTCCAATCTGTAAAAGACATGATTAATAAAAGTTTCTAATAGTCGCAAGTATTTGGTTTCGCCTTGTAAAATTTTTTTAATTTTACAGTCCAAGTAGGTCAAAGTAGAATCAATTTGAGACAAGTCATCCTCAATCGGAATTGGAGAAGTCAGAATATCTTCAGGGTGAGAATTCGCAACTAAACGCAAAACCTGTTTTTTTAGAAGTAAAACAGTATTAGCTGGTTCCTCATATCTAATCTTCACTTCGTATTCGAGTTCGGCCTTGTTAAGGAATTCGTACTTAATAACCCTTTTCATTGTTATAATTATGTGTAAAGTTAAGTTTAAGAAATAAAAATTAAATTAGAAATTATACCTCTTTAAGTTATCTAGAATAAAAATATTAAAGTGATGAATGTAAGTGAAGTGTTAAATGTAGGTCTAAATATAATCCAGATAAGTTGAAACACTAGATGAAGTGTTGTTTTAGAATTTGGAAGGTTATCTAGAATAAAAATATTAAGGTGACGAATGTAAGTGATGTGTGAAATGTAGGTCTAAATATAATCCAGATAAGTTGAAACACTAGATGAAGTGTTGTTTTAGAATTTGGAAGGTATGAAAAGGATGAATAAATAAAGAGATAAGAACGAAAGAGGAAGCAATTAAATCAAAAGAAATGGACAAGGCGCAGTAAAGGTGAAGAGAAGAGAAAGAGAACTTTTACGTTGGGCGCCAAATGTCGTGAAGCGACAATAAAGAACAAAAAGAATCTTACCTAAGAACAACAAAACAACAAAAATACAACAAAAACAAAAATATATTTAAAATTCAAAGATATTTACAATTTTATAAAAAAATGAAATGAGGATGATGATGAATGAAGTGAGAGTACAATTAGATTACAAAAAAAATAAAGGTAGGAGAATAGGGGAATATAGAGTTGTAGTGGAGCCTAAAAGTCGAAGCGACACACGTTGCAATTGTAGAGGTAGGTTTCTTAGCAGCGACGACACGCAGCGCCTGAAGCCAGCACACGCCGGTTGCGCTTGTAGAGGTAGGTTTCTTAGCAGCGACGGCACGCAGCGCCTGGAGCCAGCACACGCAGCGTCCGGAGCCGGCGCACGTAGCGCCTGGAGTAGGTGCGCTCAACGCTTAGAGTCAGCAGTTGCAGCGCCCAAAGGTGGCGCCGGCGGTAGGTGCACTCGGCGCCTGGAGTAAGCAGTCGTAGCGCCCGGAGTAGTGTGGCCCCCGCGCTTGAAGTAGACTGCCGACGACTTCCGAGGTAGATGGAGGCTTGTAGGATTCCGGAGTGGTGCGGCTCCGCGCTTGAAGAAGGCTTCGGCGAAGACTTCACGTGTAGGTGGAGGCTTGCAGGATCCCGGGGCAGTGCGGCCCCGGGATAAGACCTTTAGGAGATGCTTCCAATTCGAGAACTGAAGCGAGACTGCATTTCTTCACCGATTGTTCGGCTTTTATACCTTTCTAGAGAGAACGGAAAAATTATTTAAATTAAACGCAAATTTTTTGTAAATGGTCAAGAGAAAAGAGTATTTATGTGGAATTATCGAAATAGGAACAACAGATCGGTAGCAAATTTGAATATAATTACTATGGAGACCAAATAAACAACAATATCAAAACATGTCAAATTTTAGTTTTAGGCTTGTAATAAGAAAACGGCAAGATTTAAGTGGAAAATGAGATCTTATTGATATAGGAAAAAAGATAGCGCAACTGCCCACACAAAGCCCGAAATTGTAGAGTTACGGAAAACTAACTAAAAGATCGAAAAAAGGTAGACTCCATTGACACCAATTTAAAAGTGCTGATAATGTGAAAATACGAAGTAGAAATGATTTGTTATTGTGTTCTTATGGTTTAAAATCGTTACAGGATCCTATGGAAATAAAGGTGATGTAAAATATCCAGTTTTGAAGTGAATGCAGAAAATCGAAACAGAATGGAAAAATGAATTTAAAATAATGTAAAATGATAAGTAAGTAGCATAACACTACAAATTTTAGTTTTAGGCTTGTAATAAGAAAACGGCAAGATTTAAGTGGAAAATGAGATATTATTGATATAGGAAAAAAGGTAGCGCAACTGCCCACACAAAGCCCGAAATTGTAGAGTTACGGAAAACTAACTAAAAGATCGAAAAAAGGTAGACTCCATTGACACCAATTTAAAAGTGCTGATAATGTGAAAATACGAAGTAGAAATGATTTGTTATTGTGTTCTTATGGTTTAAAATCGTTACAGGATCCTATGGAAATAAAGGTGATGTAAAATATCCAGTTTTGAAGTGAATGCAGAAAATCGAAACAGAATGGAAAAATGAATTTAAAATAATGTAAAATGGTAAGTAAGTAGCATAACACTACATTTGTCGTGAAGCGACAATAAAGAATAAAAAGAATCTAACCTAAGAACAACAAAACAACAAAAATACAACAAAAACAAAAATATATTTAAAATTCAAAGATATTTACAATTTTATAAAAAAATGAAATGAGGATGATGATGAATGAAGTGAGAGTACAATTAGATTACAAAAAAAATAAAGGTAGGAGAATAGGGGAAGATAGAGTTGTAGTGGAGCCTAAAAGTCGAAGCGACACACGTTGCGATTGAAGAGGTAGGTTTCTTAGCAGCGACGACACGCAGCGCCTGAAGCCAGCACGCAGCGTCGACACGCAGCGCCTGAAGCCAGCACACGCAGCGTCCGGAGCCGGCGCACGTAGCGCCTGGAGTAGGTGCGCTCAACGCTTAGAGTCAGCAGTTGCAGCGCCCAAAGGTAGCGCCGGCGGTAGGTGCACTCGGCGCCTGGAGTAAGCAGTCGTAGCGCCCGGAGTAGTGTGACCCCCGCGCTTGAAGTAGACTGCCGACGACTCCCGAGGTAGATGGAGGCTTGTAGGATTCCGGAGTGGTGCGGCTCCGCGCTTGAAGAAGGCTTCGCCGAAGACTTCACGTGTAGGTGGAGGCTAGCAGGATCCCGGGGCAGTGCGGCCCCGGGATAGGCCTTTAGGAGATGCTTCCAATTCGAGAACTGAAGCGAGACTGCCTTTCTTCACCGATTGTTCGGCTTTTATACCTTTCTAGAGAGAACGGAAAAATTATTTAAATTAAACGCAAATTTTTTGTAAATGGTCAAGAGAAAAGAGTATTTATGTGGAATTATCGAAATAGGAACAACAGATCGGTAGCAAATTTGAATATAATTACTATGGAGACCAAATAAACAAAAATGTCAAAACATGTCAAATTTTAGTTTTAGGCTTGTAATAAGAAAACGGCAAGATTTAAGTGGAAAATGAGATATTATTGATATAGGAAAAAAGGTAGCGCAACTGCCCACACAAAGCCCGAAATTGTAGAGTTACGGAAAACTAACTAAAAGATCGAAAAAAGGTAGACTCCATTGACACCAATTTAAAAGTGCTGATAATGTGAAAATACGAAGTAGAAATGATTTGTTATTGTGTTCTTATGGTTTAAAATCGTTACAGGATCCTATGGAAATAAAGGTGATGTAAAATATCCAGTTTTGAAGTGAATGCAGAAAATCGAAACAGAATGGAAAAATGAATTTAAAATAATGTAAAATGATAAGTAAGTAGCATAACACTACAAGTATTAACGAGTACATTATTAATAATAACCTCTGATAATGTCCCTACCATGCTGTTTCTAAATGTTTTCATAAATTTGGACCTAATTTGATCGGAAACACTATCTTTAAGGCCGAATAACTTTAAAATAAACAAAACATTTAAACAGAAATTTACTCGTAACAAGTCATTAGACGTAACAGATATTATTTCCTAGATCGTGTCCACTAAATTTCATTCAGTTTGTCTGTTTTGTTGTTTGTAGAATCAAACTTTGTTTGTATTGAACACACGTCTCACACTGAAGTTATATTTGTTTTAGAGTAGAGGGACATAAGATCTATGATTTAAAGCCTAAAGAGTCACTGCGACAAAAATTTAAGGAAATTAATATATTAACTTTATGAAAATGTAATGTACGTACACAAAAATAAAAGTAGTTTTACAAAATTAAGTGATATTCATTCTGTAAATACTAGTAATAGACACAAGGTAGTAGTACCAGTAACTCGACTCCACCGAGTCAATAATTTATGCTCGGTACGATATATACGCTTTTACAACAAAATCTAATACTTTATGGCTGATAATAAGCCCTGGCAATGAGGTGATCGCTGCCAAGCCATTTCTAATTTGTTTTGTTTTGTTAATTGTGTAACATATATGATTGTAAGCTGTTATTTTTTCTAAGGTACCGCTGGGTTCTTTGCTGGGTCTTCCCAGGACAGAGGTATTTTTCGGAACCAGTGGTATTTAAAGAAAAAAGTGACTTCCAATAGTATTTTTTAGAATATATATTGAATAAAAAAGTTTCTGTTTCTGTTTCATACTCGGGAGAACCTTCCATAATATTAAAACCCACTTATAACAGTGAAGATAATTTGATCAACATAATTGTATCTTTATATTAAAAATGGTCCATCCAAATTCATGCTAACTTTCGTCGTAAAGTGGAAATTTATTTAAAACTGTAGGCTGAATTTGAATTTCGTTTGAAACAGAATGAAATCGTCGATTGGATTTGGTTGGATAAAATTAAGATTTATTTTTAATTACTTGTAGTTGTATACGGACAGAATGGCAATGGTAATCAAAAATGATCACTTTTTGATGCATATACACAAAACAATTTTCTACATCCAATAATTTAATTTTTAGGGTTAAATTACGAAAAAAAGAATTGAAAAACTCCTCATCATCACATACGGCACTCTGGTATGGTGGACCAAAACGAATGAAGTCACCACTATAAAAAAGCTTCAGCGTTACCATAAAGTAGCACGTGTGGCTGCCACAGGCTGCATAAGGACCACACCAACAACAACCTTAAAGGATGCTCCCGCTTCACCTACATATACAACAAGAAGCGACTTTAGCTGCCATTAAGACCCTAAATCATTTGAGTAGAAGTAGAGTCTGTTATAGAGTAGATAGAATTTACACCAAAATTCTTATCTTACAAGCCAAGTATGATAAAAAATATTTTTTTATTTTAATTGTATCTTATATTTCTTACCAAATAATTTATGTTTGATAAGATATATAAGATGCAATTAAATATTGAATAGAATAAAATAATTTTTATTCAATATAGATTATTAGATAATGCTTATTGAAAGATATTTTTGTTAAGAAAAAAAATACCTCTATTAAACAGAAGCCTAATCGGATTTTTTTTATCCTCTATTTCTTATGTTTTTATAT